GATTAGAGATGAATATGTGTATCATGATGTAGTGAAGATTCCGATAGAGTGAATAAGGTCATAGAAAATTTTGTTTCGGATAAATAACGTTTGAGAAGGAAGGTTCTAGAACATTGAAATAACAATTAGAACTCATGGAGTTAGTTGTATAATGAAGCAATTGAAAACAGATTAATGGTAGTAAAGAAAGATCTGAATTGAAATCATTCAGTTATGAATTGAAGAAAAATAACAATAATTTAATCAAACTTCAGAAAGAGTTCAAATAATGAATGACGCAATCAATAAAAAAGGGGTGTAATGTTACCAGGGCAAAGAAAGATTTATTACTACCACGTTTTGGATACATCGGAATCTTCGCTACATCATGATACACATATTCATCTCTAATCACCTTCGTATTTATAAGTATGTCAATATCTGTAATAACGTTGGTTATAAAATCTTATAGACTGTAGGCAGTTGATTCGAACCTAACGAAACATAATGAATTCATTTGGTGGTGTTTTGTTCTCTGAGCTGGATGGTTTGGTCGTGGAGCTTTCATCGTTCTTCTGAACGACATCATCAGCACAAACTTCAGATAGAAGTGAAGTGTTCGAATTTCTCCATATGTGTTTCACAGCTTGTTCTGTGCACCTCGATGTTGATTGGTTCTTGTTGACCTTAATTGTTTACTTCTTTGTTTTGGTTGTGTCTCCCATTGGTTTGATTTTTGTTCCTATATTTATGCATGATTTTCCTGATTGGTTGATAAATTGGATTGATTTCAATATGTTTGTTGATTGCTGATTGACCTGAGTGCCAAGGCTCAGAGAACAAAACACCACCAAAATCATCCACCTGAGCTACAAATCTTCTCCACCATCTCATAATGAATTCATATTATTCTGCATCAATCTTCGTTCTTGCTCTTTTCAAGACTGATCAACTTTCAGTCAAAACTATCAACAACTGGGTAAGCCAATGAATTTCACATTGAATTAGGTTACTGAATGTTGTTTAGCTATAAATAATTGTATGGAATGTGGTATGCTACTTCTAGGAGATTGTTTTAAACAGTGATGTAGATTTTCACACAGTTTTAACTTGTATTGTTCATACCTTCACATGTAAATTTAGTAGTATAACGATTTTTGTAGTTTCAATCCCCCTTTTTTGTATACTGATTCGAAGGATTCTATGGTTGTAGACGTCCTATATCCAATTTATTTTTAAAGTAATCAGTTCCTTTTATAAAATTGGATAGTGTAATAAGAAGACGAATATTATTAGAACTATGTACTATATTAGCTTAATACATTTCGAACAATCTGAATACATGTATACTTGTTAAGAACATTTATATATAAAAATAAATGGACAAATAGGCACATCTAAGGTAAGAGTAAGCAAAGATAATAAAGGAAACAATGTGAAACTCATCACGTTGGATGACAAACTAGTATTAACAGGGTAGGTTTAAGGTGATAACAAACTGTTTTTTGAATACAAGATTTTAATCGCTGGGAAATTTCCGTCATATTTGATGTGTGAGAGTGAAACTAAAGGACGACTGATTGTTGAACATGGACAAATAGCCACATCCTACAGAGTATTACATGTGTGATTTCTAATTTTGACTCACTGAGTGTGACTGCTCATAATTGTATTGAATAAAGTATTCTCTAGTGTTAATCTGATCCTCTATTTTGGGTCGTGAATCTTGTTTCTGATATAACGTGATTAGCCTTATAAAAGTATTATCGTACTATACATGTAGAGGGAGGAATATATTGTAAACCTTACGTTATATCAATAATAAAACACAGATGTACGGGAGAATATTCTTTTCAATTATAACAATTTCTCTTCAGGTTCTACAATTATTTATCCAAATTAATAGTCCAAAATTTTAGTTATTTATTTGATCAGATAAACAATGATACAGGGGGAGCACCAAACAGACATGCACCACATAAATTACCCGATTTATGTGGGGGTTGGGATACTACATGGGTGCTCAAACCTAAGCAGGTGGTTTTCTTAGGTGCCACACCCGGAGCTTCCGACCTAAAGGTCTAATCCACATGGTAGTGTCGTAACGTCAGGAGATGCAGTCCCATGGTAACCGGTGACCAACCATTGGTTCATACGCCACTCTTTCCCTCAGGATCCTGTATCCCATGTGCACCATCGGTTTGGAATCAGGGTTTGCCAACTCTCCTAAGTTAATCCTCCGTATCCACCAACCCGGTTAAAGTACTGAACATTCGGTTTTCGTCCTCTCAATTTCGTAAACAACAGCAATGCTGCGAGAAGGCAGCGAGTAGGACTTTCTTGACAGCGTCTGTATACGCGTGGCCATGTAAGGGCATTCGATGCCCCTTTGTGACAATATTTATGTGTTCAAATAAATAATTGTACAACTTGAAGAGAATTTTATTGAAAAGAATATTCTTCGTTCACATATCTATGGTTTTCAATTCATCATAGGGCGTTTGAATTTTCGTATTGCCAAGTCTTCAGTAAACCTTAATATGTTCCCTTTACTACTTGTATTACACCAAAAAAGCCGTGTTAAGATCAATCTTATTATCTATTTCAACTTTATGTTTGGTAATAGAGGATTTTGGATGTTTATCGTCTACACTTGTAAGGTCATTTGATTTTAATTGTTTTTGAAATCATATAGATACATAATCAGACACGCTAATTTGAAGATCACGATTATCCTTCCCTATATACATGTGGCCACGCACATATTTAAATTGGTAAACACAGTAGAATGTGACGCAATCGTTTCCATACCTTTTAGATTTTTGGTGATGGATGGACCTTGTTTTTTCTTTGATAATAACGTTTTCTGTGTAGTACGTCTTGTTAGTAACTGTTTTGACCCTTTAATTCACTTGATATTGTTTTACTTGAATCTTCCCATTGATGTTTTAGGACTGAAATTGATCAGTCTCTTATTGGCATATGTGCATACTGTGCGTATGCCTCGATATTGCCTTAATTTACAAACATTATAAGCAAAGATGGATAGTGGCTAACAGTGGAATCCAGGACGCGCGTTTCGTCCTGTTTGGGACTCGTCAGCTGGATGTACCTGCATCTCAGAGTTGATGTTCACTCTGGTACTCGAACTCAGTGCCGTTCGCTTCAAACGCCATCACGTTATCCACTTAGCTACTGAGTCCTGGATTCCACTGCTAGCCACTATCCATCTTTTCTTATAATGTCTTAACCCATTGTTTGAATAAAAGGCTATTTTATTCACCTATGAACGGTAAGGCGATGTAGACAGGCTTTTTTTATATCCTAAATATAATAGGTTTCACTATACCTTTCCATAGATTTAGGAATTTTAAAGGATAACCATTTTCCGTTTATGTTTTGTTTAATAACGTTTCTTCGTCATCAATAAAGTCTTTTGTACAAATATGATCAATCCTGTTAAGTAGTCCCCTTACCAAACCCCGTTTGTATTGAACTTTGTAGTAACCACAAAACAAAGAAGGCACTGGCCTGTCCAAGTTAACTTTTAAAAAATCAATCGTTTGGTTGAACCATCTTCTCTTCTACTTATAAGTATATCTATGGTAAGTAGTTGGTCATTTTTCTCCTTATGTGGTTTTCAAGAGGGTTAAGTTTATTCAATTGACAATTCATATCCTCCGGCCTTTCATACATAACCAAGATGTTATCTCTATATCTCTTTTAAAAGGACATGTTTTCGATTAGGTATTCAGCTAGATTTTTATCATGTACCATGAACATGTTATTTAATATTGGTTCTAATGAACTATTGATAGCGATCCCATCGATTAGGCGAAAGTATTCACATTCAACTATGAAATGGACTTTGTCATTGCATAATATTAATAAATCTTTAAGAATTTTTAAAGGAAAGATTGTAAGAATACATTGGAAATTTCATGTAGACTAATTACCAAGTGGGTTGTTTTCAGACTTGTTATGTCATTTTTTTCGCCGAACTGAACTAATTGCTTAACAGGTTTCATAATTTAAATCACGAATTATTCTTAGTTGGAATACCACTGAAAACATGAAATCATTGAATAGCTTTCTCAACCTGGTATGATACTCTTCAGCAGAGCGCATACAATACTTCGCAGAGGGGAATCAAACCTAGGACCAATCTCATGTGTGAACTCGTAACCCTGGAACCACTAGGTTGGCATCCTATGGTTTATATGTCTAGCTCGTATCGATACACCTCCATCCACTATCTGTGATGAATAACTATCTCATACCTGTTATAGTTAGAGTTTTGATGCCGGCTCAGTTATTTATTTATTTATTTTAATACATAGATATTGGTACAAGGAGGCACCAAATACATATTCGTCACACAGATCTCATTTGATATGTATGAGGTCTGTGATACTTCCCGGGTGCCCAAACCGAAGCAGGCGGTTTTCTTAGGGGCCACACCCAGAGCCTTCGACCTGAAGTTCTGATCCATAAAGCAGTAGAGCGATGTAAAGAGATGCAGTTCTATGTTAGCCGGCGACCAACGATTGGTTCATACGCCATTTGTTTCTTCAGGAGACTAGAGCCCATGTTCGCCATTGGTTTGGAATCAGGGTTTTCCAACTCCCCTAGGTGGACTCTTCATGTCTATCAACCCGGTTAAATCACCAGACATTCGCTCTTCGTCCTCTCAATTTCGTGAATAACACCCCCGCCATGAGAAGGCAGTGAGTAGGACTTCCCTGGCAGAGGCTATATACTCGTGTCCATGTGAGAGCATTTGGAGAGGGAGAGCGAACTCTCCTCACTCTCGGCCGTACCAGGGCATTTGGGGGCTCAGTGGTTCGAAGGTTAGACGTTTTCACGTAAGATCAAAAGTTTTTGGTTCGATTTCCCGTTACAAAGTTGTGCATGCACACTATTGAAAAGTTTACGGTTTCTATAAATCAATCATTTTATTTTTACCTTCTACTTATCTACTATTTTGTTATTTTGTAGTGGTATATTTATATGTACACAATATGTCATCCAATAGTTTAAATGAACTCATTCATAATCTGCTCATATTCATCTTAGAATATAATTGGATATATAATTTTCAATGGATTGGTGATTTATGTAAGATTAATAAAGATTCTTCTAATTTATGTATATCATCTATTATTGAAAGTTTACCATCATCTTGGAAAAATGTATTAAAGAGTGCAAGTCTTCAAGAATTACAAGTAAGTTGATTAGAAAAAGAAATGTTGATAATAATTAAATGAAGAGAATAATTTGTTAAAGTTTAACATTGTTGTTGTTGTTGCTTTAATATTCACGCTGACTGATTGCTAAATAGTAGTAATGATCAGTGTTATACTTGTCTAACCTTTATCCATTGATCGAATATTATCAATCTAGTTGCTTTGCGTTGAGCATTAAAAGTTAAAGATATTCGTAAGCTACTAGGATTCGATCAGAGATGCCTTAGAAATATTGTTCGCATCTGCTGGGATCACCGGGTAAGCAATAGTGAGGTGTTAGACGTCGGGGATTAGGGAATGATGGTAAGTCAGTTAATGAGTTAGTGAATCTTCATCGACTGAGATGGTTGAGCCACGTGTTACGTATGACCGAACACCGATTACCACGATGTGCAATGCTGACTAGTGTTGGGGATAGTTAGAAGAAATTTAAGGGCGGACAAACCAAAATGTGACATCAGTCTGAGCCATGTTAGTAGATGCAGACAACTTGGTTGGGTTCTGCGTGACTATCGTAACCAATGGTTGGATTATGTGGGTGACATGGCTGAGAATCGATCACAATGTCGTTGGCGTATACCCTCACTGTCTGCCCTTGAACTATGAGATCAAAATTACTTTATATCTTTCTTTCTACGAACCAGTCCTTTCTTCCTGTATTATATTCTTACATACAACCGTTCTTTTATATATTACTACCATTCCAGCAACTGCTGGAACAAGTACACGAGTGGGGACAAACGAATGTAGTTAAGTACAAAATTACAGAATATTTCAATAAGATCTGAGAACCATATAGTCAATGAGCAATGATGGATAATGGCTAGCAGTGGAATCCAGGACGCGCGTTTCGTCCTATTTGGGACTCGTCAGCCGGATGTACCTGCATCTCAGAGTTGATGTTCGTCTCAAACTTGTCTGTTTCTTTTGCAAGTATCAGTCCATTATCTCAGATTTAATGGTTCATACATTTTCATACCAATTGCGTCCCGTCTCCTTCCTTTCCTTATCGATCTTCTACTGAAATACATTCTATGCCTGATTACCGTTTTATACTAATTATGTGGATATATGTAATCCACATCCCACAACTACTTCTATGAATTTGTTATTCATCTTGTTGTGCTAATAAGATATAGTAACTTAGACTGATACATATATATGCCTAGTCCTACGTTGTAATTGACTGACTAAACCACAATCCTAAACATTAACCAATACAAGGCCCCCAAACGCCCTGGTATGGCCGAGAGCTGGGTGGGTTCGCCCTTCCTCTCGAAATACTCTCACACGGCCGCGCGTATACAGCCTCTGCCAGGGAAGTCCTACTCACTGCTTTCTCGTGGCGGGGGTGTTGTTTACGAAAATGAGAGGACGAAAAGCGAATGTCCGGCGCTTTAACCGGATTCCAAACCAATGGTGCATATGGGCACCAGTATCCTGCGGGAACAAATGGCGTATGAACCAATCGTCGGTCACCGGCTACCATGGGACTGCATCTCCTTACGATGCTCCACTGCCTTGTGGGTTAGACCTTTAGGTCAAAGGCTCGGGGTGTGGCCCCCTAAGAGAACCACCTGCTTCGGTCTGGGCACCCGGGCAGTAACGCAGTCCACATGCAATTAATGAACTAAAATTGTGTGGCGCATATATGTTTGGCGCACTCCTTTACCAATATATATGTGTTCAAATAAAATAAAATAAAATAGACCAATACAAAAATGAATGATCATCAGGTATCTTATTTGCTTTGTCTATTAATCACTATATTATCAATAAAATCGCATATGGTCCCCATTTACATCTTTATCATTTTAGATGTTTGTTTTGGGTACTTCAAATTTATCCCATTGGCCTAATAGTCTTATAAATTTATCTAATCAATGTCGTCAATTCACAAGATTATTATTTCAATATATGATATTCAAATCAAATAAACAATTTCCTTGTTGTTATTTCAATTCTAATAGTATATGTACAGATTTAATAAAATGTATACAAATGAATAATATAGAAAAGAATTATCTATTAAAATTATCCAAAAAGAAATCATATGAACTTAAACAAATATCAATACTTATTCAAACAATCTTATTATCAGTTGTGAATAGTACTACGACAACAACTGCCACGACGACGACGACGACTACTGCCACGACGACGACGACGACTACTGCCACGACGACGACGACGACTACTGCGACGACAACGACGACGACTACTACTACTACGACGACGACAACAACGACGACTACCACTAATAGTAATAATAATAATAATGAATTTGTTAGTTCTTCACAAGATATATTCCACTTGAATGAATTTCTACTGAATAATGAACATATTAGTGATCATTTTCAAAATATTCCTTTAATCAGTAATGAATTGATAGAAAATAGTATTATGAAAGGTTAGTGAAATGTTCATTATTGTTATTTATGATTAATTCAATTCCCCACTTCGACAAATTGTTGTGAGTTTATGTCCGACTTTTTACCATGTGATTTATCCACTAATCAAAATACGACTTATACAATCTTAACATTGTGCCAAACCAATGACGTTCGAGTGGTGTGAGCTGTCTAGCGTCCTTATTGGTTCTATCTTCGCCTAGCCCGTCCAGTTGAGCCCAGAACACCAAATACCAGCTCCCAGTATGAGAATCGAATCGAATCATTTATTTCAGACATACTGGGTTTATATATCAATCAAACAGACCGCAACGTACCATAAAATAGGAAATAACATTTGTACACAATAAAGTCAAAAAGTGGCTGTGAACGTGGGAGGCAGTAGTCAATAAACTGAACATAGCTTAAGAACCGTAAATCGTACAATAATAAGTTATAGGTCAAAATATAGCTTATAATAAGAGGAGTATAGATATACATGATCTAGTTACTGGATATTTATACCATAAGAATGTATAGATAATATTGATCAATTAATATGTCTCAGAAGTTACTCGTGATTTAATCTTCGCTTGGACATAACACAAATTAGTGATGTTGTTTAGAAGTTAACGCTGATGTTATTATTATTAATAATGGTTTTATTCAATAGTATATTTTTGGTACAATATGGAATTCTGAGCACAAAGTATTCCAACAAGTTTCCTTTTCTTATTTTTTGATCGATCATGATCACCAGTTAAATGTTAGCAGTTCAGGAATCGACATCTGATTAATGTATATTCTTTCGACGATGGATACGGAGAAGTTTATTTAGGAGAGTTGTAAAACCTTGATTTCAAACCAATGGTTTACATGGGCTTATTGTTGGTTATCGGCTACCATAGGACTGAATCTCCTTACATTGCTCCACTGCCATGTGGATTAGACCTTTAAATCAAAGGCTTGAACTGTGGCCATATAAAAAAACCACCTGGTTCGATTTGGGCATCTGTGTAGTATCCCAACCCTCACATAAATCGAATGATTTATGTGGTGCATATCTATCTGGTGCCTTCTTGTACCAATGTTTATGTGTTTAAATAAATAATAAAAATTGAATTGAGCATCTGTCATTAACCGACATAATGAATGGGTTAAGTTAAATAATCCCTTCTACTTAAAATGTGATTACATGTTGCAGACAATTTAAAAAGTAACCAATTACACATACTACATAATTCCAGTCAATTCAGTACACTTGTTCACTAATAATAAGCTATAAAAGTTTTGTTTTGTTTAAGATGTTTAAGACCATTGTTCAGTTAGAGAACAATGAATTTTGGTGGAGTTTTGTTCTCTGAGCTGGATGGTTTGGTCGTGGAGCTTTCATCGTTCTTCTGAACGACATCATCAGCACAAAATTCAGATAGAAGTGAAGTGTTCGAATTTCTCCATATGTGTTTCACAGCTTGTTCTGTACACCTCGATGGTGATTGGTTCTTGTTGACCTTAAATTTATCATTGTTTACCAAATTAAAGATATTCAAATCAACAACGACGAACTCATGATATCCTTCGACGTAACAGCACTGTTCACTTCAATTGAACCACAGTTAGCAAAAGAAACTATATCCCTGCTACTCAACAACGACACAAATCTCACCAAATACACGAAGCTTCAAATTCAAAGTCTACAGGAACTCATCGATTTATGCCTAACAACATATTTTCAATTCAACAACAAAATCTACGAACAAACAAAAGGGACACCAATGGGATCACCAATATCAGGACTGATCGCAGAGGCAGTGATGCAAAGACTAGAAGCCACGATATTACCAGTGATCAAGCCAAAAATTTGGATTCGCTACGTAGACGACACCTTCGTCATCGTCAAAAAGAATGAACTGGTAAACACATACAAACTAATCAACAACGTTTTCAACGACATCAAGTTTACAATGGAACAGGAGTCAAACAACCAACTAGCATTCTTGGATATATTGATCACTAGAACTGATACAGGAAAACTGGAAACTCAAGTATATAGGAAACCGACCCATACAGATCAAATTCTCAACTACAACAGCAACAACCCAAGAGCTCACAAAATCAACTGCGTACACACATTGTTCAAGAGGGCGAGGACACACTGCAGCACACTGGCAGCACGAAAAAATGAAGAGAAATACCTGAAGGACATATTTCAAAAGAACGGCTACCCAATCAACTTCATCAAAAAGCACCAACGGCACACAGCATCAGAACCCAAGTCAAGCACAAAAATCAACAAAAGGATCACCCTACCGTACATACAAGGAATATCAGAAACCGCAACGAGACAGCTGAAAACCTTCGGGATGGGTGTGGCACACAAACCAACAAAATCACTACAATCAATCCTATGCAAACCAAAGGATGAAATAACAAAGGAAAACAAATCAAACATCATCTACAAAATAAATTGTACCAACTGCGACAAACACTACATCGGACAAAGCGGACGCCCCCTCCACCTACGCCTACATGAACATCAATTAGCAGTCAAACGCCATGATATCTCTTCACTTATATCAATACACGTGGATAACTACGGACACTCATTCGATTGGAAAAATGTAGAGATCTTAGACAGAGGAAACTCCAAAAACACCAGAGAATTTTTAGAAGCTTGGCACTCAGGTCAATCAGCAATCAACAAACATATTGAAATCAATCCAATTTATCAACCAATCAGGAAAATCATGCATAAATATAGGAACAAAAATCAAACCAATGGGAGACACAACCAAAACAAAGAAGTAAACAATGATAAATTTAAGGTCAACAAGAACCAATCACCATCGAGGTGTACAGAACAAGCTGTGAAACACATATGGAGAAATTCGAACACTTCACTTCTATCTGAAGTTTGTGCTGATGATGTCGTTCAGAAGAACGATGAAAGCTCCACGACCAAACCATCCAGCTCAGAGAACAAGACTCCACCAAAATCATCCACCTGAGCTACAAATATTCTCCACCATCTCAACAATGAATTGTTTGAAAGATAAAAAAAGCTGACATCTACTTGTTTCACTGAATACCTATTCCAAAGAACCTATATTTTAGAGGATAACAAAGTCTTCGTAGTATGGTTAAACACCTTTTACTTGGTATAGGATACGACGTTGATAAGATGAGCTTATTCATAATCAACACAATGATATGATATTGATAGTCACAGTGGCTACAGGAGGATAAAACCATGTCCTTTTCTAAAGTCCTAAATCCAGCACTACTGATTAACCATTCCTACATTTATTTATCCAGGGTTAGAATTAAAAATTTGGAGTTCGGCTCAGGATTGAAGGCTAGCAATTAAGGTTTTGTTTGATTTACATGTTATATACAATCTAAACAGCAAGAATTTAGCATCCGATATGTTTTACATTATCAAATATACTTTATAATTGTAGATAATGACTTGTTATTATCCTATGGTCGGATGATTTATACTTTCACCTTTATGATTTACTGTTTTCCAGATGGAAATTCAAGCATCCCACTTAAGATTGTTGATATTGGTTCTGGATTAGGCTATTTATCTAATTATATTGGTTATCATCTAATACTTAAATATGGGGATTTATTTACAGAACCTCAAATTATTGCAGTTGAATGTGATGAGGGTTTACATTTTAAAGCTTTGAAAAATTTAAGCCAGTATAATTCAATATTTCAAGTGAAATCTTTAACTTCAATTGTGAAACGATTACTATTTCGTGTTGAATCGACGAATTTAAATTTGTTACAAACAAGGTTGGTTAAATTTTTGCAAATTAGTTTAACTCTTTTAAACTACTTATAATTAATTCAATAGTATGCTATGACATTGAAATAATCCTTAGATGAATAACACTTAATTTAACTCGTCATAGAAAAGAATGTATTGGTAAGTTGAATAGTCGGTAGCAGAGGAATTCGAACTCACGGTTTCTTCTTTTCGTCAACCTTCAGCTGGATCTACTGGATCTAACATTCGAGTGATAATTTGACCTGAATTTATTATCTTTTGCTTCAAACACCATCTCGTTGTCCATCTAGCTACTGAATTCAGCCTACAATCATGAAGCAATCCATTCAAGACGTATATATAGTCATGAAGACTGATCATTTGAGGTTTGTGACATTAACGACATGAAAATATAGAGCCGTATAAATATTAGTATTGATTGTCTGGTGTTCCATGTCAGTGATTCTGTGCTGAAAGCGATAAATTCTAGGTTCCAGTCTTTTTCTACTTATTTAACTTATCATAAAGAATCAAGCACACTTCATAGAATCCACTGTTCTAACCCCTGTCAGATATAAGCTCTTTTGTACTCGGTTTTTAAGTTAGTTTCACTCATAATTCATTGTTTTTCATGTTAATCACTTCCAGGATTTCTGAACTAAAGTATTTTCATTAAGATATTGAAATTGTTTCTTCTTACCTTGTTCTTTTACCTTGTTTACCTTGTTCTTTTAAATTTTTGTTACCTTTTCTGGCAAACATCATTTTTGTAATAAATTTCTATTCATCGAATGAGCAGTGATGTAGTCGATTTGAATCCAAAGTGAGTGCCCATATGATCTAACTGTACTACAAATTAAACACATAAATTAAGCGGTTTAGGAGTTGTGGAGAATGTCAAGTTTTTTTATTGAGATCATGAACCGATTGATGCTAGACCAACACGGAAGACCTACTCACTGCCTTCTCGCAGCATTACTGTTGTTTACGAAATTGAGAGGACAAAAATCGAATGTCGGGCGCTTTAACGAGGTAAGTGGATATAGAGGATTCACCTAGGGGAGTTGGAAAACCACTTCACATGGGCTCCAGTATCCTGAAGGGACAAATGGCGTATGAACCAATCGTTGGTCACCGGCTACCATGGGACTGCATCTCCTTACGATGCTCCACTGCCTTGTGGATCAAACCTTTAGGTTGAAGGCCCCGGTTGTGGCCCCCTAAAGAAACTACCTGATTCGGTTCGGGCATCCTGGCAGTATCACAGCCCACACACAAATCAAGTGACTTATGTGGCGCATATGTATTCGGTGACTTTTTGTACCAATATTTATGTACTCAAATAAATAAAATAAAAATTATGTCCTTAAGTATTCAATATTACAGTTTACCATTTATTTAACAAATAAAATTGTAAGCTAATTTTCCAATTATTCTCTTCAAATTTGAACTGTTTAATCTGATATTACTCTCCATAAAGGCTGTGGAACACACAAAATGTCACTATTTAATAAACAACTAATACATCTTCACAATCTTTCTAATTAGCGTTTTTATAGCGACTTAGTTTTCTACGGGATGGGGTCATTAACCCCATGTCCAACCCTCCTCCTTTATCTGGGTTTGGGACTGGCAGTAGCCCCAGAGGGGCTCTATGTGGAGTTTCATCACAGTATGGTCCATTTGAATTCAATTTCAATGAATTGATTCAATTAATTATTGTAATTTTTTGAAATCTTCCAATTCTATACGAATATTTCATTTATCATCTAAATAGGTATATTCTCCTTTTTTTCCAGACTTTATCAATTCACTTCTGGTTATAATTACTTATTACTTGGTTTACATTGTTGTGGAGATTTAAGTCAATCTATGATTGAATTATTTCATCAAGATTGTTCAGCAAAAATTCTACTATTAGTCGGATGTTGTTATCATAAAATGACAGTGGAAAAGGTAAGGATTTTAATTAGTCGATCAATGCTAGACTAACGTTGAAAACCTGGAAGTACTGTACAGCCGTTTCGTCCTAGTATGGGACTGCTCAATAGTGCGCATCCATGGTTGCACATACAGGACTCGAACTCAGGACCTTCGGCCTCGTGCGGGATTATAGATGCGCACTGTTGAGTAGTCTAATCCTAGGACAAAATGGCTGTAAAGTGCTTTCAGGTTTTCGATGGTAGTCTAGTTTAGATCGACTCATGAACTCAACTATTACAATTACTCCAATCCCTACAAAAGCCCCATTCTAATAATACTGTTGGGTTATTTTCGATATTACATCGAAACTCTTTAACAGATTTATAAGTTAGGTAAAATGTGTTATCGAAAATATGAAATTTAGATTTTACTTTCTTCCAGAATAGAAAGTTTGTGTTGATTACTTAGTTTTAATTGGTTTGGTTGTAAGTCATTAAAAACAAGTGAGAGGATTAAAGGTCTGTTTCCTGCTAGTTGTGGACTTCTCAAAAGCACTCACCTACAGCCATTTTAAGTATCGAACTTAAGACCGTTACTTACTTTTAGATAACTTAGTTGTTATTAAACTATTCATATTTCCAACTTTAATCATTTCACAAACTCTTATTCTATTAATAAACATTTTCTCATTGACGAGTTTTTTTTTGTTGAAAAACTATAATACCGGTGACGTCCAACGTCGATCACGGATGTTTACTGTGAAATATTCTGTATTTAGTAGATTTGAAAATGTAAGCAATTAGTTACCAATACGTTCATCTGAACGTGATGTACTCTTTGTGCAACCTGATAGTTCTGACTTAAACGTCTAGCAGAGTAATTCGTTTATTTACTTATTTAAACACATAAACATTGGTACAAGGAGGCACCGAATATATATTTTTTTCTGGTTAGCGTTTTTTTAGCGAGTTAGTTTTCTACGGGATGGGGACGCTAACCTCATGCCCAATCATCCTCCTTTATCCGGGCTTGGGGCCGGCAGTAGCCCCCAGAGGGACTCCAGGCGGAGTTACCGAATATATATATACACTACATAAATTATTCGATTTATGTGAGGGTTGGGATGCTACCTCGGTGTCCAAACCGAAGCAGGTGGTTTTCTTAGGGGCCACACCCGGAGCTTTCGACCCAAAGGTCTGATCCACAAGGCAGTGGAGCAACGTAAGGAGATGCAGTCCCCATGGTAACCGGTGACCAATAGTTGGTTCATATGCCTTTCTTCTCCTCAGGATACTGGATCCCATGTGCACTAGTGTTTTGAAACCAGGGTTTTCCAACTCCCCTAGGTGGATCCTCCGTATCCACAAACCCGGTTAATGTGCCAAACATTCGCTTTTCGTCCTCTCAATTTCGTAAACAACAGTAATGCTGCGAAAAGGCAGTGAGTAGGATTTCTATGGGAGTGGTTTTATGCACATGGCCATGTGAGAGCATTTGGAGAGAGAGAGAGAGAGCTGACTTTCCCCACTCTCGGTCATACCAGGGCATTTGGGTCAATCACTGGTTTACACTGAATTGGAGTTTTAAAATCAGATTAAAACATCTGGTTTTATTTGGATGCATTCTTAAATATTCGGAGTACTAACTCGGTGTGTTTTTTGATCGTGTTATCTCTACATGGCTTTTGTTATCATTTAACCTCAACACAAGATGTGTTGAGTTTTATCCCAAATGCCCTGGTACATCAGAGAGTGGGGAAAGTCAGCTCTCTCTCTCCAAATGCTCTCACATGGCCATGTGCATAAAACCCATCCCATAGAAATCCTACTCACTGCCTAAGGAAACCACCTGCTTCGGTTTGGGCACCAGGGTAGTATCACATCCCTCATACATATCAAATGAGATCTGTATGGCGCATATGTATTTGGTGCCTCCTTGTACCAATATCTATGTGTTAAAATAAAATAGATGATAATTAATGATTCAACCACTTGAATACGATCCGCTTAGTTCCAACTTGATAACTCGATCTATCATACTCAATCTAGGCAGCGTTATAGTATCGATTCTTCTTAAATGAAATGTTTATGTGAAAAGCTGATTGTATAATTTAATATTTGGCAAATATGTTGTCAATCAAATGTTCTCAATTTTGTGGTTTTTTTTTCTGTTACTTACTTTCGCCTGTTACTCCTTATGGGGCATATGCCACCGACCGGCATTCTCCAACCCATTCTGTCTTGGGCCTTCCCTTCTAGTTCTATCCAATCTTTATTCATTCTTTTCATGTCTTTCTCCACTTCTTGGTGTAATGTGTTTCTTGGTCGTCCTTTGGCCTTGAAGATTCCATGTGGGGGCCTGTCTTGTGACGCAGTTGGGTGCTTTCCTCAATGTATGTCCTATCCACCCCCAGCGCGTATTCCTGATTTCTTCGTCCGCTAGAATCTCGTTTGTTCTCTCGCACGGTAGGTTGTTGTTGATATTGTCTGGTCAACAGTTCCGAAGTATTGTGCGTAGAAAACTGTTATCAAACACTTTTATCTTCTGGATGATGGCTTGACATTTGTATTGAAAATTGTGACTTTGGTGTTGGTTGACAATTGTTTTGAGTTCCGGGTGTTCTTTAATTGTAGATATGCTACTCTTGCTTTGCCGATTCTGTTTCTTATAGATTTTTAGCTAATCAATTGTGATAAGTTTGACATAGAATATGTAAGTATATTAGAATAAAACCATTTTTTTCTTTCATTCTATCAGTTCAACGCATAATTGTTTTGATTGAGATCATTAACCGATTGATGTTAGACCACCATTGAAAACGTGGAAGCACTGGACGGCCGTTTCGTCCGATTGTGGGACTCCTCAAGAGTGCCCATCCGCGGCCCCTCCCCCCTGCAAGATTTGAACCCAGGACCTACTGGTCCCGCGAGCGGGATCGTTGATGCGCACTGTTGAGGAGTCCCACAATAGGACGAAACGGCCGTCCAGTGCTTCCACGTTTTCAATGATGGTCTCAATCAAAACTTAACAATCTCCACATCTCCTATAGTGATAATTGTTTTCATTTTGAATGTATTTCTTATTGAAGTTTTTTTTTGTTTTAATTTCGATTTATTTAGTTTCCTACGAGTGATTACTTACGTAAAGCGATGTTAAATTGTGATATGAACTTTATTGAAAAATGTATTACACCAGCTACACTACGTTTAGCCTGTCAACATTCACCTTTAACATGGTTAAATTGGACAGAATTAGATGCTAATAAACATCGTATACGTGTATTGGCTCGTATAATTTTAGATTTGATATTGATCAAGTATAACAACTTGTCTATGGTATTTGAACGATATAAACGACTTGATCCAGTGACACAATGTGATGCAATAAAGAAATTATTAGCTACTAATTATTATGAAAATGATGCGAATGATAATCCTCGATCACTTCACTTCAATGATGTGTATCCACATATTATCAACTTTTGGCAAAAGTACTTAGCAGATATTCTATGTTCCAATCAGTCAACTAATAGTGACTTATGTTTCACGGAATATCGTGACTATTTTGAACAGATATGGAATCTGATACCAGGTCTATTAGCTTTACAGCAATTATTTCAACCATTACTTGAGACAATTGTACTGTTTGATCGTTTATGGTATCTTAGAGAATATGGCAACATAAATGGAAAATATGATCAAGTTGATCCTTATCAATATTCTGGTTATATACGTATTTTTGACCCAGTTTTATCACCACGTTGTATGGCATTGTTAGTGTGTAAAAAATAGGAGAATGTATAGGGATTTATGATGTCCTGTAAGATGACTTATTTTATATTTACATTTTATAAAGTATATTATTTATAATTTATCATTGATAGCTTTCTAACATTTGTGAAATGATGCATTTAGCTGTCGGTCAATCAGAGAAATGTTTGCATATCAAGTAATCAGTTTTAAGATGGAATTGATTGAAGTTAGTACAGTCATGTAGTACGTTAGATAGCAGCAGCTCACTGATCTAGAGGATAAGTGTTCGTGTGTATAACTAAAGGTGATTGCTTTGATTCACGGATATAAGGGTTGTGGATGCTCACTTTTGAGCAGTTCCATAGTAGGATGAAACGTTTGTCTAGTGCTTCCAGGTTTTGAAACATGCTTCATGCTTGATTATAAGTAAATTGGAACGGTAAAAGTATGGTATATTGACGAGTTAATCACGATCAAGAATGACACTTTTCATATGCAACGTAGAATCTAGCACATATCTATTCCCAATCATCTTGGTTACAAGATATAAAAAAATAGAGAGAGAAACTTATCAAAACAAATCCCACGTAGTATATGTGGTTATGGTATCAATGGTAGTGGCAAAGATTTAGAATAAACATTATTGTTCAAGAAGAGAGGATGAATTCACTGAGTAAGAAATATAAGGTCATTTCTAAACTTTGGATCCAAGTTCAAATTAAGAGTGAATGTATGTATTTCATTCCAATCGATTGTGTATCATATTTATCCAACCATTTATTAAAGTAATCTTAAAAGCTTAAGTCATGTTGTTTGCGTCAACCAACACAACTGCTGTTGTTTGTAGAATACACTTTCTACGCCTTATCAAGACTTCTTGATCGAGTTAGCTGAGTCGAAGACAACCGACCAGAATAGTCTATTGAGTCTCTGAATCCTGAGTCTTCATTCCGTTCCGAATAAGTCGAATCAGTAATATCCTCAAGGTTAACGAACCTAACACATACACTAATATCCTATTTTTCCAGATTACTCTTACACCAACCCACAGCGTATACCGATGTAGGTGGTGGTCAAGTATAAGTAATATATGTCCATGACACCTCAGTCGATGATCACTGACTACTGTATCAAACGATTTACCATCTTAGTCTAGTGGTCTCCAACTTACTTCAAGATTCCCATCAAGCGCAAGACATAACTGACCACTTAAAATCTAGAGATACTATCGACAAAGTGAATTGAATTAGTGTGAGTAAATTTCTCTTTTCTACTATAGTCACAGTACTAGATTCATTACTGAGTAAGAAATCAGTGTTACTTGAACATCGAGATCAATATAATTTTAAATATTATAAATATGGAGTTAAGGCCATTTGAACCTCTGTATAAAAGGTAAAAAAAAGTCTTTGGCTTATAACAATGCGAATGATCACCTCATTATTTACGACTATATGGAAATTGTCAAAAATACCATTGACGTTAATCGGCCGATTATTACACAATATCCTGTACACATTAAGTGATAAGTCGTCTAAGTGAACGTATGAATCGGTTTCCTAAGTTCTAATAATCTCAGACTAAATCTACACGACGATTTGCAAATGAGAGAAGACGCAAAGTGTGGAAAAGAGAAGCTTTACTTCTAGCTTGGTCCATGTACAGAACATCGAAGATATTTATGGTATTTCAGATAGTCTTGAGCTTCTAAAAGTTTGTCGAACTATACTGAACATAGCTGCATGATAGGTAATCATAAATAGGACACGTAACTCTTCCTTATCTTAGATATTTCTGTGAAACGTCTGTATAACACTGACTGGATAAAATGTTTCTCAGTGTTTTCATCGCCGTTCTGAAATACTTTTGATCTCCCGAAACATCTTTCTTTGATGAGACTATAATTTATGGACGAACCAATCAGGTATAAGATAACAAGTCTCGGATTTTGGCGCGAAATTCATTCATCCATTTGACTAAATAAAGTCTTGGCATTATAACTGATGTCAGTTTGTGAGGAAATCCCTAAATCAAATTCCTAACCCTAACCATCAACTACAAATCATAATTCTATTCCCCCATATGCTAGTTTATAATCTTCATTTTGTCCTAATTATTAGGTGGACACTCTCAAGGCCACTTTAGCGTCACTCAATGGTCGTTCATAAAATATGGTCTCACCCTTTCTTCTTCTTCTTCTTCTTCTTCTACAAACTAAGACTTCATCTTACGGTCGACTTACCATATCAGTAGATACATATTACCTTATAATCAATAGCGTCAAGTTTATTATACTACTGAAATGGTTAAAAGTAAGACTGAAAAAAAAAGAACTTCATTTCAATAAAGTCACAATCATACAATTAATTTCACTATATAACAGTTAAATGTTTCATTCTGTTGTTTACTACAATATTATCTTCAATCAATAGCGGTAAACTATTCTTTTTGAAATAGACAATCACTGTCAATCATTACATAATATAGAAATGGAATTAAAGAAAAAGAAGGTCTCCTCTTCATTTAAAGTAAACATTTTCTTTTTCTTTTATATCTTGAATAACTTTATATAGAGATGTAGTCAATCCTAGACGACAAATGGTTCAGAATTATGTACTAGACAATGTTATTGTCTAGAATACATATTTGTTTATTATAAGGTCATATCAATGATATTTGACATCTTGTATAAACAATATTATTATATTTGGCAATGAGATATACACGTTTGAATTTAAATATTGAGTCATGAATTGGCTCACACATCTATCTAATTCAGATTATTTCGTTTGGCTTCTCTGCACTTCATTCTCTCCTATTATCTGTTCTGATCAATGATTGTAGGAAATTCATTCTGGTATTTAACTTACTTTATTCCATTATTCACTAATGTGATTAAAGTCGATGATTATATACGAGAGTTGGCGGTATGTATATCTCGATGACAATCAGAAAGGATCTAAGTGGATTGAGATATAGGACCACTAAATTGGTAAGCCTGTTGATAACATTAAAGGGCCTAACATCAGGTATATTATACGTTGTTATCATTTACTTAGGAAATGCTAACAGTGTTCAGAGAACTGAAGTATATCGATGTGGTTCACATGGCTGAATCTAAATTGGCTCACACATCTATCTAATTCAGATCATTTTGGTTTGGCTTCTCTGCACTTCATTCTCTCCTATTATCTGTTCTGATCAATGATTGTAAGAAATTCATTCTGGTATTTAACTTACTTTATTCCATTATTCACTAATGTGATTAAAGTCGATGATTATATACGAGAGTTGGCGGTATGTATATCTCGATGACAATCAGAAAGGATCTAAGTGGATTGAGATATAGGACCAATAAATTGGTAAGCCTGTTGATAACATTAAAGGGCCTAACATCAGGTATATTATACGTTGTTATCATTCAGTTCGTCTGCAGCATTATCTTGAAATGAGACAAGCACTGCCTGCACCTAATGGGGAGGCTTAGTCGAGAAAAGCTGTCTAAACAGACCATTGTCGAATGTTCGTTGACCAATAACCTCTCTCATTCGTTGCTGAACCACTTTGCAGCCCAATGTTTTGGAAGGGTTCGTCTATTATTTGTCAACCGGCTAATGCTCCACACCTATGAATAGCGATTTTTAAAGTTTCTCAATGTTGCATAACATCGCTAGTACACATACTGGATGTGGCGTATTTTTTAAATCACGCGGTAGTGCTTTCACCACCGAGAGGAATTGTACATGTAGTTCTGTCACGCGTGCTCGTGGAAGCCAGCTTCTGTGTAGCGGAAGCAGACTTCTATATTGTCGGGATAGAATGGCACCAGCTGAAGGATGAGAGGAGAAAGGGATTTAATCTTGAGTGACTTGAATGTCTGATCCATCTGATAAAGATATAATATATCAATACTACTACTACAGTGCACGCTACTTATCTGGACATATATAACTAGTGTATAACACCAGTCAGTAGTGGAATGCCTGATAGTAGAGGATTGAGAAGATCAAATTGAAGAGAACAGAAATGTGAACAGAGGACAGTTGTAATAACGATGAAATTTTATAAAAGACTATTTATGTAAGATTTGCAATTCATGTATTTCGCCCTAAATTATGAATTGATCTTCCTCACCTGAATTCTCGTTCACTACACTATCACTGTTACTAATGCAATGCTACAACTTCTTCATCATATCAAATTCTGATTTAATAGTTGAGATCATGAGTCAATTGAAGCTAAACCACAATGGAAAACTTAGAAGCACTGGATTGCCGTTTCGACCTAGTATGGGACTTCACAGCAGTGCACATCCAAGATCCCACTCCAGAAATTCGAACCCACGACCTATCGGTCTCGCGTGTGAATGCTTAACCAACTAGACCACAGAGCCGGCAGGTATCCAACAGTTTTAATGTCCAACTTCAAGTAGTCCACGAAATTGAGCGACGCATCCACCATTGACATCAGTCAGTTACTCTCACAACAAACCCGGCTGAACTCCACCCATCGCTGCTCTAATTAAAAACATATCGTTTAGTGACGAAATAATTTATTGTGATAAATATTTTGGGGATTATGACCTTGTTCATTCATTGTTCAATAGTTTCTGAAATTGAGATATAAAATATTTACAAATAAAAGTAATAGATTTCTAGGTTTAAATGATTGAGATCATGAATCAATTGAAGCTAGACCACCATGGAAAACATGGAATCATTGGACCACCGTTTCATCCTAGTATAGAACTCCTCAGTAGGGCGTACCCACGATCTCACCCCGCGAAATTGGAACTCAGGACCTATCGGTCGCGATTTCGTGGATTGGCTGAAGTTAGACCTTAACATCGTTGAATAATGGCCGGCTCAGTTGTTAAGTGGTTAAGCATGCGCGCATGAGACTGATAGGTCCTAGATTCGAATAACGTGAGGCGGGATTATGGATAAACACTGCTGAGGAGCTCCGCAATAGAACGAAATGGCTGTGTAGTGCTTCCAGGTTTTCCGTGATGGTCTAGCTTTAACTGACTCATGAATTTA